CTTTTACGAACTTCATTCATTCATTTATTCCGTAAACCGGAAGTTCATTCCAAAACCGGAAGTTCATTCCAAAACCGGAAGTTAGTCATATAAACAGGAAGTAAATGTTCCTAATGTAAATAAACATTCCTGTCATGTGCCCTTCTTAATATTTACAATGTATAGACTCAAATAGTTTTGAATATTTCATTTCTTAAAGAGGTAATAATTCATTTGATATAAATAACTTCATTTTCTCATGAAGTATCATTATGTTGTAAATAATTACTTTATATTTTTACCATTCTGGAGTAACTAATGATTATGATGATTACCCTATAATATGTTCTGCGTGTATTATTTTACTACAATAAGTCCCGAGCTACTGCGCGAGTTATTCCTTTGTCATTTACCTCCACAGTCAAGTCAGAGTATAGCTCTAACTTAGTTAATTTTCCCCAAAATTAACGTTGCTAATTTTCCCCAATATTTACTTAGCTAATTTGCCCCATTTTACTCACACTTTATTTTTACATTTGGATCTTATTGTATTTGTAATTGAATCCAATTAGTGATTTAATTCACTACTGATATTGCATATCAGTAACAATAGTTTCATATGTACATATACAAGATCTTTCTTGTAATGTAATTAGATCCGAACGGTGGTTTAATTCGTGATTGATTTTTGTGTAATCAATAACAAGAATTTCCATGTATTCATTATCTGTATGTATTGACATGTTCGACTTGAAGCTGCGACCCCAATAAAGAAAGACACATGAAACTTACCAGGCTGCCTCCATTATATTTTACAGTATCAAAAACAAAAACATCCACACAAAACTCGATGACAGATGTCCAGACACTGAAAGGAAGAGCTGGGGACCTATCTCGATTTGGTTTGTGTTAGGGTAATTTTGAAGTCCGTCTAATGCCTTAAAATAACTGTATAGTCCGACACCATCCCTAGACCCCTGGACCGGCGTTATCACTCCTGCTCTTTTTGAAAAGCCACAGAGGAATCTTTAGCGTGCAATATTAGGCAATCCTCACACGGGCCACCGTTTAAAGTCCCATCCGCCGGACTATGGTTAATGGTTAGTGGTTAGATCGGTGTAAGTGTAATTAGAGTAAACAGTTTTCTTTGGTTGTCCTCGTCTTGAAACCTTTCCAATCATATGGACTAAGCTATTTTATCACTTTACCAATGTCTGTTTCAGTCTGTGATTCCAATCTATTCCTTCTGCAAAAATCTGTTCACTATACCGACCTTTCTGGTTATAGATGTGATTTGTGTGAATGTGCAGATTAAGAATGGTTATGAAAGGTTTCGGGAAGATATATTACGTTGAAGAAGAAAATGTCATGATAGGTTTAGAATATCTAATATAAATTTAAGTTTTTGAAAAGAGAGAAATTCCTTGCGCATGCGCGGGTAGGATGGTTGGATTATGTTTTAGGCTTTGTATATACTAATATATACATCCCACGGTTTGGCTTGGGATGTGTGGGTGGGGGGGGGGGTGTTTCTTGTATGGTGTTTAGTTGGTTTGTATGCTTGTGTAATAAGTATAATTGTGTGATATTCCAAATTTAGAGATTGGAGGTAATGGTGCTGTGCTTGTTTTTTTTTTCACACTATTGCCAGTGTGGAATAAACAGTTCTGTATAAAAAAATCTCAAAAACTGTTTTCTCCGTTGCCCTATCTAAAAGAGTTTTATATGTTACAAGCCAGGTAAGAAGACTCGAATCCGCCTGCAAACCAGTCCATGGCCGTTGTACCCCGAGGTTCCATTTATGTTGAATGTATTTAGGGTCTTAAATGTGGAGTTTGTTTGTGTACTTTTCTTCATATTCGGTCATTTGTTAAACAAATACTTGAAAGGGTGTGTTTACTTGTGTGTGTTGTTTGACTTTTGAGTACAGTTTCAACAGCGAGCATTTCGCTTCGAACTCCCGGGGAACACAACTGCCTTCGCTGTATGTGAAAACTATTTTGTGAATGCGAGGGGTGAGGGAAAGGGAGACACAGAGAACGACACCATATGCCTCATGAGGTGTCAGTATGTACAGGATTTGTCAACCATTGACAAGTCCAACAAAAGAGGGGCGGTGGTGATGGTAATGATGATGAACAACGGTAAAACAAAAGAGGGGCGGTGGTGATGGTAATGATGATGAATAACAGTAAAACAAAAGAGGGGCGGTGGTGATGGTAATGATGATGAACAACGGTAAAACAAAAGAGGGGCGGTGGTGATGGTAATGATGATGAATAACAGTAAAACAAAAGAGGGGCGGTGGTGATGGTAATGATGATGAATAACAGTAAAACAAGAAGGAAAGTATGCACAGAGTTCAGTGTAGAGACCATGCGGGACAAGGTGCAGAAAATATATCCTAAGGAGGTCACTGCAACATATACATAGGGATTTTTTCAAGAAACAACATATCAGGAAGTCTTTTCCCGTATTGCTGCGACTCAACTTTTGTTTGTTTGCAATAACTGAAGCCACTTGAAGAAGGTGACAACCAGTCAAGGACATTTTTATACTACGGTGCCATCACTCTGAAATGTCATAACATGGACGCGGTTTCATGGTACCTTATATTGAATCACACAATCATTAGGTACTATCAGCAGTTTGTTAAGCGACAGGACATTTGTACGGAAGCTCAACGTAAGACCAAAGTGTCGCCACGTAAGGCAGTGGAAAGAAACGCGTTCGAGAAGAGAAAATGGATACAATAGGAACATTTCTTACATCCTACCTTCAAGTTTTCCAATGAATGACTGATAAGCTCGATTAGTTTTAACACCAGGTTAGCATATAACCGTTAGATTGTGTATAGAACGGCGCAGCTAAAAGAACTGTGGATTTGATCCCGATGCTTTCACCGAAACGGGGGATAAATCATTTGGGTTTGTCCGTCCGTCAGTCTGTCTGTCACACTTTCGTATTCGCATATCATCCAATTTGGGTGGAACTTGGTCAGCAGATGCATCTTGGGGTCATTAAGACTGAGTTTGACTATCAGTGTCACCTGTTAATAATTATGCATACTAATGAGGTATCATTTGATTTCATTGGTCGGTTCATTTCCGTGCTCTAACTTCCCGAAATATAATCCGATTTAGATGAAACTTGGTCAGCAAATGCATATTAGGGCACATAAGACTGAGTTCAGCAATCAGCATCATCTGTTAATTTCTATGCATACTAATTAGGTATCCTTTCTTTTCTTTCGTCGGTCAGTTTTTGTGCTCTAACTTTCCTAAATATAATCTGATTTAGATGTAACTTGAAGTCCCAAAAATATTATCAGTTTATCATTAAGCTTAGCACCAAAGTTATGATCCATATTTTTAGAAAGAAATACAATATTTATCATATTGTGTGGACTACTATACCTGCTGACGACCATGGATCTACTTAGCAACATTATAGTTACTAGTATACAAGTTTTCTTCAATTAGTTCACTTTATTGGTTAATATTTGATATGTCCAATAAAACATCTACTCTCTGTAATCCTTTACATCTTTCTTTGGCTTTAAAGCAATACATCATAGCTCAAGAGGATATATCATTCTACATAGCATTATGATATGTTAACTCCTAACCTCTATAAATTCCATGAATTTGCTCGTTAATTTTACATTCTATCGTAGCCTTATATGTATCTTTCGAAGTGCGTGGTTCTATCGACTTAGGGCAAGTAGACCTCTGCTGTTGTGTAGCATCCGTCGTCCTTTCGGCGTCAACTCAACACTTTCACAACTTCCTCTCAAGAACGTCAAGGCCGAAGGTACTTTTATAAGGTCTGTAGCATGAAGTGCTGCCAAGTTTGTTCAAGTAATGAAAGTGACCTACTTACAAGATCACAGAAAAATATCTTCAAACAATTTCTTCTCAATTAAAAAAAATACAAAATATTGCTGATATAGGGCCTGATGTATGCTGGGATGAAGGGTCACGAAGTTTCTTCGAATGAAGGACTTTGACGCGCTTTCATGGTCACAGCGTCAATCGTGTTAAAATATTCAAATTACTTCTCTGCAATAACTTAAAGGCCTGGGGTACTGTAATCGGATATTCAGCCATCCTAGTTTAAAAGGCAACCAGGTTTTGTTCAAATGAATGACCATGACCCACCTTTGAGGTCACATGTGTCAAACGACTTACTAAACGATCCAGGGTACTGATATAAAACTTGTGGTATGCCCAGATAAACATCTCTCAAGTTTGAGCCGCTTTCAATGTGTTTATGAAATCTCTAAACTTCTTTTTCCCACAACCAAAAGGTCTCAGGTCATGGTGTTTGTTTATACAGGTTTGGCGTTCATCGATACCAGAAGTCGATCGAACGTCAGAATGATTCATATCACCTGAACATGAGTTTGTGTTCTGATAATCGTTCAGGCCAGTCCCATCACAAACTTCCTGAGAACACCTTGCAACCCGGATTTGGATCATCATTACTTTTCATTTTGTAAAGCGAGTACTGTCATCCCAACATTGGCCAATACAAGTGGGAAAACAAGAAAATAATGCGATCAGATCTAGACATCAGTGTAGATGGACATTTTCTAGCCACGGTAAGTTATCAAGTCTCTTATATATGACACATACACCATTAAATATGAAAAAAATATACATGTATTACGGATATGATTTAAGATATAAATATAAATAGTAATATATCGTATAGAAATAGAGAAATAAAGTTTTTGTCAGAAATACAAATCTTCGAAAGTGCATATATGTATATGTAAAGGGTATGTAAATACTAATAGCAATTGAATACGATGTCTCCATAAAGTTGATTTAGATAGATATATACTTGCTGTTCTGATATCCATAATTCTTGACATTTTAAACAGAATGACAGTTCAATAAAATTTTGCAACGTGTTGTTTGCACTGTGTACAGTTGCATTAACGATCTCCGAGAAATGTGTTTGCATTTTCGTAACTTGCTGCTATGCAACAGGACGTATCAATTTTTTTCTCTTCCTTAACTTGACCCTGAATCCAGTGAGGTTTTGGATAGGTCGAGTTTGACTTCCGAAGCAACTGGACTGTTAATGGCTGTAAAGTCTGCATTAGGATCGGACATCTTGCCCTGCATATGCTGGTAAAGTTTCTTGACTCTGCTTGGCTTCACATTGAACCGAGGAGGAGGGACTTTGTTGCCACTGGTTGTTATTTTGTTCACCACCATGGCAAGAGCGGGAACTGTATTGTCCTTCCGCTTCACGCCGCGTATTCTATCACGCACGTTGGCACCATACTTCCGGATTTTCATGTCGTCAGACGGGGTGTACTGGTCGACCGGAGATAACTCCACGAAAGGCAATGAGTGGAAAACTGCCACCTGAAACACACATGGCATACATGTATACTTATTACCTTATGTCTATTAAGTTTGTGTATGTAATGAAACGCCATAAACCATAGATACATTGCTGTGTGCTTGTTTATCACTCCCGAAAGATTTCACTCCCTTGGTTTATAAGCAACAGAAAGAAAATACATCCTCCCTCCTTGTATATCATTACATCGTTCACAAAGAATGCTGATATTTGGTTCATAATGTTTGACGTCACTGTAAATAAAGGCGCCAAAGCTTCTTAATTCAATCACTGAACGAAATAAGAGTTAAAGATAAACGAAAAGCATGGTCTACTTACCGATGCCAGTGTTTCTATGATCTTTGGAAGAGACGGTGGCACTTTGTGACGTATTTTCCGTTTATACGATTTGCCAAGTATGGCACTCGAGTTCAGTTTCTTCTCCATCAAGTCATCTTGGAACTGTACTTCTTCATGAACAGCCTGTTCTTCGACATGTGTCTCTACTCTAGGAATTCCAACTTTCCTCATTTTCGCCAGGAGAGTCTTCCATCTTGGTGTTTTACACTGGTTCAGAACTTTCAAAGTTCTAGCAGACCCAGTTCGCTTTAGGTCCCTCGGGACCCGTGTTTCTTCCTCCAATTTCTGTTGTGGTACTTTAAACGGTCCCCACCTTTCTCCAAATGTTCCTATATATTGACCACCAAGCGTCCACAACCGGATCGAGCAGTCTGCACTGCAAGTACAAATTAATTGAAACTCGTCAATGAAGACGACACTGTTAACTACCTTTGTGTGAACTTTGAACGAATTCACAAGTAAAGGCCATTGTACAGTCCTCCTCGGGTTACTGTTTAAAGGAGGTGGACGGTTAAGAATGCCGTCTGGTCTTGGCTCTTTGGTAGTGAAGCTAGAAGGTGGTTCTCGCGGATTGTGCCCATCTATTGTCATAAAAATGAATGTCTCAAACAATTCTTTCCATCGTGCAGCTCGCTGACTTCGTGTGTGTTTCTGTTTAATACAATATTCCGTGATGTCCCAAATTTTTAAATACCCAATTGTGTCTACGGTGACTAGAAATTTGTTATCTACATCGGTTGTTATGGCGTGGACGCCTTCTCCAACTTTGTGCGACGCGTTAAACTGACCCAGGAGACCACCTTCATGGTGCAATGACCAGGCTCTTACCCATCCTTCTGCGCCGCTAGATAAAAGAGCAGCAGTTTCCTTATCTGCATTATCGCGTCTTTCCAAGAAAATAATTTTTTCAACAGCCGCCTCATAACTTTTACATATTTCATCATAACCAACTCGGCTGTTCGGTTGTTCGGCGCATGGGGTTGGAGTGTAGAATTTTTCATCAAAAAGAGGCAGAAGAGGATGCTCACATGGAGTTTCCGTCCTACAGAATTGCTTCGAAAGTCTGCCACCAGATTGACTATTGTTTTCGCGTACCTTGCTTAAAAGTCCAACTCCGACCCTAATGCCTTTTATCGAGGATCGTTTGCTTGATTTCTGTTTACCAGCGGCATCTTCTGAAGACGCTGCATCTTCTTCTATCATTGAAAACGTTCTTAGTTCCTCTTCTTCATCCTTCGTAAACTTGAACCTCTTGTTGTTTTCCGTGGACGGTTTTGTACCCTTAAACGCATTCAGGGTGCAATAAGCTTGACCAGTGTCCCTAGACCATATGACGATATCTCCGTCATAAGACCCTGTTGCTATGATATTCGGTCCCATATAAGACATGCAAATAATGTCTTCGTTATGTTTGGCCTTCCACTCTTTTCGGTGTTCTTCTCCGCCACCATCGATGTAAACATGCACAGTGCGACTCCATCCAGTGACGTAAATCCGATGTCGCGTGCTCACCAGACCTGTAACATCCAGACCACCTGGAATGTTGAACGTTTGTAGGCATGCACCATTATTGAAGTTCCAAACTTTAACGCTGCCGTCTCGTGCGCCTGTGATCAACCTCCTCTCTGGACCGTCAAATGTTATGGCTGAAATTTCAATAGGTATATCAACGCCTCTCTCTGTGCATTTATGGGCATTTATAAACTGCATGACCTTTTCGCCAGTCCGCACATCCCAGACACTGACAACTGACTCGTGGCAAGCACTAACGATGAACCTAAATGTCTTATTATAGAGAGCTGCAAACACTGGCTTATTATGGGAAGTTACTTCTATCCTGTTCTCCTCTTCAAAGTGCTTCTCCAGCATCGCTATTTGGTTCGTTCCTAAGAGCATTGTCTGCGTTTCGGGGTTGAAGCAGATAGTGGATATCGGGAAGGGCCCAAGCTTTACTACTCTTCCGCTGAGCTGCTGTACACATGTCTGGTCTTTCATGTCATAAACTCGTATGCTTTTACCCTTGTCGATACTGATGATTTGATTCTTGGATGAGTTGATGATCACGTGAGTTATTGGTTTAGAGTGTCCTTTCAGAATGACAATTGCCTTGCTGTTGACGTACGGGTTCCAAACTCGAACGAGGTAATCCATCCCGCCAGTTACTATAATATTGTTCTGAGGACAGTAATCAAAACTCAGGATACCTTTGTACACCTTGAATACCGTTGAAATCTTCTTTTTTTCAATGTCTTCCAGATATAACGAATTATTAGTGCTCTGACAACATGAAACAACACAATCTAACTCTGGAATGTAACCAATTTGAGAAACCCAGTCATCGTGAACTCTACTGAATTTGTATGCTCTCGCGCCAATGAAAAAACCTCTGATCACTTCCGGTAAACTGACTTTCTTGTACAAATCTTTGCCGGCGACCGCACCGAACGGCCCCCCACGCAGTGACGAGTCAAACTTGACAGCAAATGTGTTTCCTGCCGTATCACCCCACAAAAGAACGGCATAATTCAAATCCCTAGTATTCGCCCAGAAGTACATCGTCGTTATGCAGTTCTCAACACCCACTATATGGTACCGTTTGATGAATTTATTGGCCTGTAGGTCGAAAATGATGATATCTCGATCGGTGGATGTGACTGCTATCATGTTGACATTGTACATACAAACCATATCTGTCAGCCAAGGTTGAGTAGCTCGGTCCATTCCAGAATGTGTATTGAAGCTTCGGATACGTTTCATTTTTAAAGTCCAAAATATGAGGATACCTTCTTTGCTGAGAGAAACATATCTACCGTTAGAATAGTCGATGGACGCTTGAGGAACTGCACGTTTTTGTATCGAGGGGAGAAATGCTATTCTCACTATAACGTCGCGATGTCTCGACGGAACGTCACGGGTTTCTACAGGAAAGGGTTTCTCTCTCATCATCTCGATCATTTGGTTTTTTTCTTGATATTCCATAAGGTTGTAAGTAACATACTCCTCCCAGTCTACAACACCGTCACAGTTAGCATCTACTTTCATGAACAAAGTTTCTATCTCTTCTTCGGTAAGATTGACACCTACCGTCTTTTTTATGGCCCGTCTGAATTCGTGAGGCTCTAACCCCGGTTCTTGGTCACTGTCCGCCTTCTCGAATATTTCTTGTAGCCGTGCATATTTAATTTCAGCCGCGATCTTATCTGGATTAAAATCTTCCTTGTTGTGTTTGGAATTCTTTTTTACTTTCTCTAGATCTGAATGTGTACTTGCATCTGATAGTCGTTGTTCAAATTTTTGTGACAATGACCCTTTTGGTGACTGGATTCTTGGCAACTTTAGACCACTTTTTGAATTGCTGTGAGGTACAATGCTGTTTCTGTAATACCTCGACTCTCTTCTCCGTTTTAAAGCCGGATTCAGCTCCGGCGGAAGAACTGATTCCATCGCGATAATCTTACCAACGACGACCAGGGTAGCGTTGACACCTATTCAAGTCTCCATTTTGCACGTTGTTATGGCGTGTTCTGATGACGTCTACAACTTGGTATATTATGACGTCACAATCACGCCTACTAGTCACGCTTTTATTTTCCTTCTTGACCTACCTATTCTGATTGCTGTTTGCTTTCTGTTTTTATCGCAAAAATGAACAGCCGGGGTAATTTTGAGGCGAGGTCTCCTCGATTATAGTAACTGGTGGCTAATGACGAAAAATCTATATGTAGTCTGTAAAATACTCAAATTATCACCAATGAAAAATACAATGTGCGGTTAAATGCTGTGAAAATGTTCATGTAAAATACTTATTGATAAAAACAAAATAGAATATCTTAAGTCCGTTTCGCTTTCGTATTTATATAACATTTCATGTCATAAATTGAATGATACAATTCATTTTGTTTTTTAATGTAAAATTAACTTTATTATAATGGCTGTTCTTGTAGCTAAATATAATCTAGTTTTGAATAGCGCTTATAATCTTATATGCATGTTGTCTGATAACGTCTCCCTACTTTTTGCCGGAGATTGTACAATAAAACGTTGCGAATCCATGGCTGTGTACCAAAAACCATAGCGTACAGTACCTGTAACAAGGCGTCAAGGTCACAAGAAAACGAATCTTTTCTACAAACAAACGATTCTGGTAAAGCTGACCAACCCGATAAACGAAATTGTCCATCCTAATAAAGGTTACTTTTTAAAATGACGAAATGACCAAGCCCTCTAAAGGTACCTTTTTTGAAATGAGCTGTAAAAGCAGACGACGGAAAACTACGGGAAATCCCGTGACTGGTTTGTTTTCAAGATGGCCGTCGAAGGCGAAAGCCTGGAGTCGCTTTTAAGTAAGACGCTTCCTGGTGTCGTATGTTGTCGCCTGGAGATCGATAAGTTTTAAATTTATATTTTGTTTGGATCACAGTTGACTTATACGTTTTTTTTGGCAGCGGGAGAGCATCTAACAGCCAACCGTACGCACATGTCAGCATATGACGTGTGCATGTGCCGGTGGGTCGGGTGGGGGGAGGGTCTCAAAATGGATTAGACATCAAAATTTGTGAACACATAAAACATTAGAATTGATGGAATTAGCGGTTGAATCATTGGTAACCGATCAATGCACAACAGATTTTAAAGATGAACTTGAAATAATGTGACAGCATTTTCACGTTTTCTACATTTGAAAATGTTGTCATTAAGGTACATTGTATACTTGAGTCATTTGTTCAGTCGATCGATTGATATTAGTTTGACATTAATGACAAAAATGTGCCGAAATGAAATTGAATGACAGAAATGGATTAAAACGCCGAATAGACTATGATTCAATGTTAAACTGAATAGAGGTATATTAACTCTTAAATGGACAGTATGATCAAGTCAACATCCAACGCCACAGTTTGATGTAATGCAAGGCTGCTTGCAAATAACCTGCTTGAAACGGTTCAGGGGTTCTGGAATTATTCCACAATAGTCGCATTCACTTGTACTGGATGTTTATATGCAAAGCTCAAAATTCATAATTTTGGAATTTTCTGAACATAAAACAATAAACGAGAAATAAAATATCATCCTTTTAATTCGTACACAACATGTCTGGAAATGTGTGTGGGCTCCAACCCTCTTTTAAGTTGAAATTCCAAAAATTTAGGATATTCCGCCAGTTAGTTATTTGTACCTGTACCAGGTGTTTCTCTACAGGTGCTGCCTACTAATATGGTTTTTATATTTATTTTAAGTTTTACATTTAGTATTAATAATGGTTAAATTTCCAATGGCTTGTTTTATCATGTAGACAAAGCGACCAATCCAGCCAGCAGAGATGAAGACTGGGACCATATTGTGGCTTTCTGTGACCAAGTTAACAAGGAACTGGAAGGACCACAGATTTCCCTACCATTACTGGCTCATAAGATACAGTCTCCACAGGAGCAGGAAGCCCTTCTGGCTCTGACGGTAACAACATGTTGTGTCTCTGAAATGAAATGTCCCATCTCCGTAAATTTTTTAACCCATGTAACTATTAGAAAAATTAATTCATAGACCTCCCTTTGGAAGGGAAAGACCTCTGGGTCATGGGTTCGAGGCCTATGTGGGGCAGTAGCCACGTGTTGGCTGTAGGTTGATGGTTTTTCTGTGGGAACTCTACCATCCAAACCTGGCACTCCCTAAAATGACAGCTGTTAATAGGATTTAAAGCAACAATAAAATGTACTAAACTTTGTAAAAAATCTTAAAAATGAACAAGCTGCTTTTATGGTGATCTAATATCAGATTATTAAATTATGAATGTTCAGTATGATGTCTTAAATGAGGTTTAATACAGTTTTATTGCACATGAACATCAAGTTTTTTTTTTGGAGAATATAGAATAACCTGTGATAACTGTTTAAATTAGATGATAGCAGATACAGCCCAACCATTTTAATTGTGTTTGATTTATAAGATCAGCTGATCCTCATGCAAGTTGATAAATATGTATGTACATGTATATTGTCTAATAAAAGATACTTGGGGATTGGATTTTTGAACCGGTTTGTTTCAAAACAGATTTTGTGTGTGAAAAATGTAATTTCATGTGATATGACCTTTACGTAATTTTTTTCTGATTTAGATAATTTATATGCTTGTTTGTTGTTTTTTTTTCTAGACCGTTGAAGCCTGTGTCAAAAATTGTGGCAAAATGTTTCATCAAGAATTGGGAAAGTTTCGATTTTTAAATGAAATGATCAAAGTTGTATCACCAAAGGTAAGCAATTATATAATCATTACATTTAAAATTGGCATATTTTCCTTGAAACATTTTTTCATGTCGTATACTGCTGATTTGCCATTTTTTCTCAATTTGGTTGATAGTTTCCAGATTTGAACTTCTCAGCCCAACCTCTCAATCATATTGATAAAAACTGAGGTAAGCTCCTGATTTCACAAATGTCTACATTGTATAGAGGTTCCCCTACCAATGCCAATCATTTGACCTTCCTGAAGCATCACATTTGGAAGTGCATATCATTACCAAAAACCAATTAATACTGAAAATTTAAGTGAATTATTTCTTGATTTATATTATCTCTAAATCCCAACTTGATCCTGACTTGCGATAAAACAGTAAATTTAAAGTGTGTACATTTTAAACTTTAACTTTTATATAAATTAATAAATAAAAGAATAAAAAGATGTCATTCCAGCACTTTTCTTCCCAATGAGAATTTGGAAAAGTTGGGAAGTATGATACCATCTACCTCGTTTATTTACATTTATTCTATAACGAGACCAGAGCGCTAACATATAATTACAACTTCTGACACAAAGTCAGAGGTGGACTTCTTGTAGAATTATGAAATAGTTTCAGTTTTAGTTCTGCTGGTTAGTCTAGGTACCTGGCATTGGCTTCTTACAGGATTAATATGTTAGATATGAAGTCTATAAAATAACAGCACAATGTGGAGTAAAGTAGGAACATTGGTGGATAAAATACTCTGTATTGTGAAAGTATGACACAAAGACTCAAAAAATTCTGATATTATAAGATGTTTTGGTGATATTAATGTATTATTGGAAGCAATTATAAAGAAACATTAGCGAGAAAAATGGGAAAAGGAAAATAGTGACCTTAATTATGTTGACACTTTTCTCATAATTTTGCGGAAATTTTTTTCCAGATATACGATATAACGTATTGGAAAATCACACCCATTTTGGCAATTTTTCCATAACACTCATGACCCCAAAATTATTATGATAATTTGTAAATGACAGCAAAAATTGAACTGAAAAGGCAAATGTATAGATAACTCTTTCAGTGTTTATGAAAAAATATATTTATCATGATGACACTGTAAAGATGTCTGTTTTTTCCTGTCAGTATTTAGGTAACAGGGCCTCAGCTAAAGTGAAGAAGAGATGTATAGAATTAATATATAGCTGGAGTAAAGGCTTACCACATGAAACCAAGATTTCAGATGCTTACCAGATGTTGAAACAGCAGGGTATAGTCAAAGAAGATCCAACATATCTCGATAAGGTAAGCATTATGATAATAGTAATAATTTTATGTCAGTTTTTTCAGGTCAATGTATGTTCTGTAAACAACATGTATTCTACTTTAATCATGAAATTTTTAGGATGAAATATTATTTCGTATAACATAATTTGTCTTAATTTTCATCATGTTGATATACAGTCTAACCTGTATTAAACGGCCACTGTTGGGAAATTATGAAAGTGGCCTTTATAGAGAGGTGGCCTCTTAATTGAGGTTCCTTATTTTCTAACCCAAGTTGCGGCAATTTGCACATTGACATTTGAATACAGTTTAATAATAAGATATAAAACATCATCTGTTATTATTTATTATCTTGTTAGCAAGTAATTGAAGACAGACCAATCTTTATTTTATGACACAACTATAAATACAAAAGAACAAAATTGAAAGGAAGGCATGTACAAGTTTTAATGAAGCTATTGAAAAAAGTTTTATAAGTGACAGGCAGTGATTCCACATTGATTTTATTGAAACATCTCGGTTTTGTGATTTCCCGATAATCAAGGGTTTTAATTTCTCCCTGGTCATACTAGCACAGAGCGCTTGTGTAAGTCTCTCCTTTGACCATTTACCCCCAGCACAATCGTCACCTTTAAGATGATAAGTTTGGCATGTAGTATCCCTAGAAAAAGAATAAAACACTTTCTTACATTCATAACGTAAACAAAGAGAGCAAATCAACTGTTATTAAGCAGACATAAACACCCAAGCCATTTAAATTGACCACAACTATGCAGGTAAGTAGTCTGGAGCTATTACGCGTGTGTATCTCACCCAAGCTAATCACGTTTTACTTGATATTCAAAAACACTACAAATACACAAATGTAGGGGATTGAGAGGGGTTAAAGGGGCTGTTGTGCACTTAAAATGTGTAATCGAGTTATAGAATTTTAAGAAGGCCCTATGATTATCATACCTGTAAAAGAATTGAATATATTGTGTGCTTCGTATCCCTCACAGAGATTAAAGACCCAGTCACTAACAACTCCGTCATCAATGTGGCCCCTTTCTTCACTCATCGTCCCAAAGACAATATTGTTTCGCTTTATGAAACACGATAACCATCTGTTTGATGCTTTGAATGTGTCATTTTTCAAGTCCTCTGCAAATTTTAACGCCCTCTCTTTTATCATTGGTCCGATCACATTCACTCGCCGAGTGACGGCCTCCTGGAACCACTTCCACGTTAAATCATTTATATCTTCATTTCCTGATTTATGTCTTTTTCTTTTCCTTTCACCGGACACATTATTTTCTATGTCCTCTAAAATTTTGGCTTTTCTTTTTTACTTGCGTCCTGCCAACACCAAGGTCTTTAGCAACGGCTTGTGCACTGTCTCCAGTCTCAAGCATCGAAAGTGCATTGTAGCGCTCTTCAAGAGTTAAAGTGAATTGCCACAATAGTGATAATATGCCTGTATTGTGTATACCAGTGACGTAAATGAAATCAAACTCAATATAAAATGCATAGAGAATTGTCTTTACGTGCCATTAGCTGTTTTCTTTGTAGGAATGTTCACGTGTCGAGAGAACGTGACTCGCAGTCAAGAAAGCTTTTCAAATGACTTGTGGTCAAATCGGCAGTAGTTTAAATGAGGTTCAATTGGGACTTTGGGGATGAAAAGGGTGACTGCTGGCCGCGTTAGACAGGTGGCCGTTAAATAAAGTATCATTAATGAGCAAAAACGATTGGGAGGGTCTGGAAACGGCCGTTATAAGCAGGTGGCCGTCTAACTAAGATGGCCGTTATGACAGGTTAAACTGTATTTTAAATTCACAAATTTTTTTGATGAATTTTTAGGTTGTTGATGTAACACCTCCACCAAAAACAAGAACAGCATCATTTGAAGATGAGGAGAAATCTAAGGTATTCCAGTTCTAAAATGTTATATGATTTCCTGTGTTTAAGTTAAGAGCCAGACCCACTCCATTATAGATTTTTTTTCATATCTTATTGACTGGAAATGTTGTTGTATACTAATAGATAATATATAAATAAAGACTTGTATAAAGTTTCGAACTTGAAATTGAAAGGGTACCAGAGATATCGGTGCCGGAATTAGTCTCATTAATCAATACTAGGATATAAATATTGATGAGGAAAAGTCATGTGATACGTTCAGACGCGGTCAGAGCCAAAACAAAAATGGAGGAAGAGGTGGGTAGTACGTCCATGTGAAATCGCTTGTAAAGAGATTTTACCGATAAATGCAATAACTACTCTATATATCATGTATGGAAATCATCTTACGTATGTATTGATCACATCTTTCAATGCTTAGATATGATACAAAAACGTGCAGATTTCGAGAAAAACTACGATTAATTGCAAAGAGGCCCTCAAATGGGGACTAAGATACGGTAACAAACATATAGAACATCGCGAAATGGATCTATCTAAAGCGAATATTCAATGATAAGGGTATTTATGAATATGATTTTAGAGTGATACTACACGAGAGAGCCAAACAGAAAGCGATACAGAGTATGAACCAGCCATTCGAATGCGCTGAGTTTCCCTCGTACACTTTCTGCCATGTTGGAAGACGGCAGATTTATTTACAGTTCTGTGTGCATGCGTCAGAGGGCAGGACTTCCTGCACAATTATGAATTAGCACTGAGTCATTTCAAATTCTTTTTTAAAACTATTTGTTATGTTAGATTGGTAATGATTTACTTTAAAATTGCGGTATTACAGGGTTAGTCAGAACTTTTGCTACCTGAGAAAATTAGAAAATCATGATTTTTTTTTTATATAAAATAATACCGGTCAAGGAGTGGGTCTGGCTCTTTAACTAATTGCATTTTTAATGAAATACTGTTTTGTTATTGGCATAAAATATACTCAACAAAAAAGAAAGGTTCACATGTTTCCTTAGCGAATACCTGTAAATGAGTGAAAACAAAATGACGTTTGTGCAATATTAGAAAATGGTAATGTTTTACATTACAAAATCCAAGGGGGTTACCAAAATCATTCAAGCATGAAAGTCTGTATTAGCGAAAGAGCTGCACGAGGTTTTCTGCGACTAACTTGTATCTTCGCTTGAATTTTATAAACATTCAAACTGACAACTGTTCCTTAGATCCTTAGGACTTTGAAATCACCGAATCTTGCTATCCATCAACTTTATCATTATGCCCCGGCTGTCACAAGTACAGAGAGAAAGGGCTGTAGGCAGGATCCAGGCTGAGGAGTCTCGCCGTCTAGTTGCACGGCAATTTGGTTGCAGTGTTAAGACAATTTGCCAGTTGGTAAGTCGTTTAAACCAAACTGGGTCAACATCCCATCGTCCCCAAAGCGGCCGACCCCGTAAAACAACCGCCAGGGATGACCATCGTATACGATTGATACACTTATGCAATCGATTTGTAACCGCAGTAGAGACTACAAGGACATTGTTTGGGCGTCTTGTGTCTCCCCAAACAGTCCGCAATAGGTTGAGGGCCTACCAATTGAAAGCACGGCGTCCCTACACTGGACCAAATTTGTTGCGACGTCACCATAATAATCGGCGTAACTGGACCCGTGTTCACCGTCGTTGGGCCTTATGACAATGGAACAATGTTCTGTTTTCAGATGAGTCCAGGTTTTGTCTGCAACACGGTGACAGAAGGCGCAGAGTGTGAAGACGACGAGGGAAGCATTTTGCGAACTGCTGCGTCGCAGAACAGGACCGCTTTGGCGGCGGAAGTGTAATGGTTTGGGGTGGTATTTGTTGGGGGACTCGTACCAGGCTTGTTGTGTTAAATGGCAATTTAACCGGCATTCGATATCGGGACGAAATTTTAAGACCACTGGTTCTGCCATTCTTAAGACGCCATGGCGTTGGCGCCTTTTATCAACAGGATAACGCACTAGTGCACACCAGTCGCATCAGCAGAACTTTCTTGCAGCAGAATAACGTACAGGTGTTAGATTGGCCATCTAGATCACCTGATTTGTCACCGATTGAGCATGTCTGGGACGTTCTTGGGCGACGCGTGAGAGAACGTCAGAATCAGCTGTCAAACTTGTAGAAGCTGGCCCAAGCCTTGATCGCTGAATGGAACAACATCTCTCCTCGAATTATCCGCCGGTTTACAAGTTCCATGCGACGACGCTGCAATGCTGTTTACTTCGCAAACGGTGGCCATACCCGTTACTAATGGTGTTACCTTTGAAATTGACCCCAACGTCCTTTACAGTCAAATAAAATCAACTGAACGCAAAGTTTTATAATGAACCATGACTGCAGTTTTATCAGAATTGATCAATTACTTTATTCGTACATGATTGGTAAAGATTTATAAAGGGGTTAATTAATTAATCACAGAATAAAGTAGTGTTACCTTTCTTTTTTTGTTTAGTATATGTGAGGAAACAAGCCTCACTGCTGTCATATGAAGTTTTGAAAAATCCTTTGTTAGAGTTAGAAGCTTAAGGTAGGTAGATTCTCTACTGGAAGCAAAGATGACTAGATTTATCTTGACTCTGGCTATTTATGTTGTCAAATCAAATACTATTATTTGCTTTTATTTGCAGTTATTATCTAAGTTATTGAAGAGTAAAAACCCTAATGATCTTCAGGCTGCTAACAGACTGATAAAGAATATGGTTAAACAAGTAAGTGATTTGGCAATTATATAAAGTATTTAATATTGATAGCAAAAGTTTCTTTAAATTTTACTTTATTTAACTTAACTGAATGTCAGCAAACATTGATATTTTCCTGTCTGTAAACAGAAATAAGATCACAGAGCATGCTTAGATTTTGGATTTTTTTTAGAAATGCACTTGATGAGAAGTTTGTATATAAAGCATCATTAAAAGCGTGTCTTGCTTTGAATTTGCATTTCATCAATATCTGGATATTTTTTAACTGGACTATGATATGAATAAGTAGGGTTTGGTGAATACACACATTTTCTTGAAACAGATGAAACACATTTGCATACTGCCACTGTCTGGAATGTGAGCTGTGAATGAGAGGTCTATTCAAGCATGATCTGGCTTTGACTTATTGACATTAGAAATTAAAATATAGGCATTCAAAACCAAATGGTTATTTGTTTCAAGATTTCTCATATATATTTATTTATTTTGCAGGATGAATCTAGAATGGAGAAAGTTTCAAGACGTATTAATGAACTAAAAACTATAAGCATTAATGTGAAATTACTAAATGAAATGGTTTCTCATTTTAAACCTGAAGCATCATCACAGTCTGATCGAGATATGATGAAGGTAGGGATTCAGAAATTGATTTGAAAGGGACAATATTAACTAATGAAATACTTGTATCATGACAGCATATGAAATTTACTTTCATTTTTAATCTTTTAAATAATCATATATAGAGGTAAATGAAGTAAGACACCTTTTGGAAGTTTATATATGGTAGCCATTTATAATAAGTTGAAAGTTTCTTAATCATGTTTAATATTATTTGAGCTAAAGATTTGCTTCCATGCTGTTTTGTTTACTTATAATATTATTAACGTTAGTTTGATTAATATATCTTGGTTTATCTATTAAAATAACAGGAGCTTTATGAATCTTTAGAGAAGCTGCGTCCAAACCTTTTTAGACTAGCTAGTGATGCAGATGAGAAAGACAATGATGGAATCTGTGAGTAAATCATAGAAAATAAAAAATGATACCAAATTCCTTCTGGCTACGAAACACTTTTAAAACTGTAATACGACCTGGACTTCGTTTTCAAAATGGTTAATACAAGACAGCACTGCAAGTATTCATTTTGTGTGTCTGCCTATCTATGAGTGACATTGTCTAGAGCATATCTTATATAATCCAGATTTTATATGTAAATATCTAAAAGGGCAGTAGAATGTAGTTATAAAAGTCTTGATTTGTATCTTACTAAATGCAGTGTTATAACCCTTGGTTCATTTTTTAAGGATATCTTGCAATACGCTTTCCTTGTAAGATAAAGATATGTTATTTGTTGGAAATATTAAAAAAGAAATTGTCATGGAGATTGTTGTAAAATGTCGTAATTGACTGTATATTGGTTTTGTTAATTTGAACAAGTAAATGATATGTGTTCTTGTTTGTTAGCGGAGATTTTGAGTTGTAATGATGAGGTCATGAAGGCTATGGCTGAGTATAAGAAGACGGTTGAGGGTGTATCAGAAGACAACAGTGAAACAGCTAAAGGTCAGTTTTCTTTTCTTCCTTGATCTGTTTCGATAATATTTTAAATCTTACAGTCATTGAGCTTTATGGGTTTAGATCCCAGTAAATTTTTATCTCACACTCGGAGGACACATTGGAAAAATAATCTTCATCATCATTATAAATCAGGCTCATGAGATACTTGTTTTTAAATTGTTACATTTGTAATCCCAATATATCTTGGCTAGTAATCCCAATATACCTTGGCTAGTAATCCCAATATACCTTGACTAGTAATCCCAATATACCTTGACTAGTAATCCCAATATATCTTGACTAGTAATACCAATATACCTTGACTAATAATCCAAACAGACCTTGACTAGTAATCCCAATATACCGTGACTAATAATCCAAACAGACCTTGACTAGTAATCCCAATATATCTTGACTAGTAATCCTTATATACCTTGACTAGTAATCCCAACAGACCTTGACTAGTAATCCCAATATATCTTGACTAGTAATCCCAATATACCTTGACTAATAATCCAAACAGACCTTGACTAGTAATCCCAATATACCTTGACTAGTAATCCTTATATACCTTGACTAGTAATCCCAACAGACCTTGGCTAGTAATCCCAATATACCTTGACTAGTAATCCCAATATACCTTGACTAGTAATCCCAATATACCTTGACTAGTAATCCCAATATACCTTGACTAATAATCCCAATATACCTTGACTAATAATCCAAACAGACCTTGACTAGTAATCCCAATATATCTTGACTAGTAATCCTTATATACCTTGACTAGTAATCCCAACAGACCTTGACTAGTAATCCCAATATATCTTGACTAGTAATCCCAATATACCTTGACTAATAATCCAAACAGACCTTGACTAGTAATCCCAATATACCTTGACTAGTAATCCTTATATACCTTGACTAGTAATCCCAACAGACCTTGGCTAGTAATCCCAACAGACCTTGGCTAGTAATCCTAATATACCTTTACTAGTAATCCCAACAGACCTTGGCTAGTAATCCTAATATACCTTTACTAGTAATCCCAACAGACCTTGACTAGTAATCCCAACAGACCTTGACTAGTAATCCCAATATACCCTGACTAGTAATCCCAATATACCTTGACTAGTAATCCCAATATACCTTGACTAGTAATCCCAATATACCTTGACTAGTAATCCTAATATACCTTTACTAGTAATCCCAACAGACCTTGGCTAGTAATCCCAATATACCTTGACTAGTAATCCCAATATACCTTGACTAGTAATCCCAATATACCTTGACTAGTAATCCCAATATACCTTGACTAGTAATCCCATTATACCTTGACTAGTAATCCCAATATACCTTGACTAGTAATCCCAATATACCTTTACTAATAATCCAAACAGACCTTGACTAGTAATCCCAATATACCTTGACTAGTAATCCAAACAGACCTTGACTAGTAATCCCAATATACCTTGACTAGTAATCCCAATATACCTTGACTAGTAATTCCAACAGACCTTGACTAGTAATCCCAATATACCTTGACTAGTAATCCCAATATACCTTGACTAGTAATCCCAACAGACCTTGGCTAGTAATCCCAACAGACCTTGACTAGTAATCCCAATATACCTTGACTAGTAATCCCAATATAACTTGACTAGTAATCCCAACAGACCTTGGCTAGTAATCCCAACAGACCTTGACTAGTAATCCCAATATACCTTGACTAGTAATCCCAATATACCTTGACTAGTAATCCCAACAGACCTTGGCTAGTAATCCCAACAGACCTTGACTAGTAATCCCAATATACCTTGACTAGTAATCCCAATATAACTTGACTAGTAATCCCAATATACCTTGACTAGTAATCCCAATATACCTTTACTACTAATCTTAACAAACTATGACTAGTAATCCCAACAGACCTTGACTAGTAATCCCAGCAGACCTTGACTAGTAATCCTAATATCCCTTGACTAGTAATCCCAATAGACCTTGACTAATAATCCCAATATACCTTGATTAGTAATCCTGACGTACCGATCTTAATATGTTTACAATCATATCTATGAAATTTAATAGACAGCTTTAATATTTGAGATATTGAACAATACTTTATGTAGTAAGAATATTTCATCATTTGTGCTGAAGTGTTCACTGAGTGATACAGGCCCTCTTGTCCTATTGAGCTATAGATTCTCAATTATTTCATGTTCTAGCTAATAACTGCATGTAAGATAGCCAGATGCTTGTGGTATAAGGGTTCTAAGAAATGACAATTTACCAGAAATTCCATTCATACTGATATTTTATTGTAGAGGTTACTGTCAGAACATCAATAAATATGATACCGAGAAATTTGTGTCTATTCCTTTATAATGTGGCTGTTGTAACCAAAAATTAAACATCAGACATGCTACCAATAAAGTGAATCATTCAGATGCATTAGACAGAGCAATTTTTTAAACTGTATTTTTAAAAGTGATCCAGGAGTAGAGGTAAAACAGGTTTTCAGATTCCTTTGTAGAATTTTTCTGTGTTCCGCACGGATGTATTTTGAATTTATGATAAAATTATGCTTTAGCACATTGCCTTGTTATCCCAATGCACCCATTTTAGCCAATACATCAGCCCTGCTTGACCTTGCACTGGACCAGTCCAGTCAATCACCGCCAGTGACCAGTCAGTCCGAAGGCAACACAGACATTTCTCTTATACTGGATGGCCAGTTACAGTCTCTAGGTAACACAATGTTCCATCACCTTTGTTTCAAGTCAAGTTTAACACACTTGTCCATCACCTGTGACTAAAATCAAGTTTAACACACTTGTCCATCACCTATGACTAAAATCAAGTTTAACACACTTGTCCATCACCTATGACTAAAATCAAGTTTAACACACTTGTCCATCACCTATAACTAAAATCAAGTTTAACACACTTGCCCATCACCTATGACTAAAATCAAGTTGAACACACTTGTCCATCACCTATAACTAAAATCAAGTTTAACACACTTGTCCATCACCTATGACTAAAATCAAGTTTAACACACTTGTCCATCACCTATGACTAAAATCAAGTTTAACACACTTGTCCATCACCTATAACTAAAATCAAGTTTAACACACTTGTCCATCACCTATAACTAAAATCAAGTTTAACACACTTGTCCATCACCTATAACTAAAATCAAGTTGAACACACTTGTCCATCACCTATAACTAAAATCAAGTTGAACACACTTGTCCATCACCTATAACTAAAATCAAGTTGAACACACTTGTCCATCACCTATGACTATAAAATCAAGTTCAACACACTTGTCCATCACCTATAACTAAAATCAAGTTTAACACACTTGTCCATCACCTATAACTAAAATCAAGTTGAACACACTTGTCCATCACCTATAACTAAAATCAAGTTGAACACACTTGTCCATCACCTATAACTAAAATCAAGTTTAACACACTTGTCCATCACCTATAACTAAAATCAAGTTTAACACACTTGCCCATCACCTATGACTAAAATCAAGTTCAACACACTTGTCCATCACCTATGACTAAAATCAAGTTGAACACACTTGTCCATCACCTATGACTAAAATCAAGTTTAACACACTTGTCCATCACCTATGACTAAAATCAAGTTGAACACACTTGTCCATCACCTATGACTAAAATCAAGTTTAACACACTTGTCCATCACCTATGACTAAAATCAAGTTCAACACACTTGTCCATCACCTATGACTATAAAATCAAGTTTAACACACTTGTCCATCACCTATAACTAAAATCAAGTTTAACACACTTGTCCATCACCTATGACTAAAATCAAGTTTAACACACTTGTCCATCACCTATGACTATAAAATCAAGTTTAACACACTTGTCCATCACCTATAACTAAAATCAAGTTGAACACACTTGTCCATCACCTATGACTAAAATCAAGTTTAACACACTTGTCCATCACCTATAACTAAAATCAAGTTTAACACACTTGTCCATCACCTATGACTAAAATCAAGTTTAACACACTTGCCCATCACCTATAACTAAAATCAAGTTTAACACACTTGTCCATCACCTATAACTAAAATCAAGTTTAACACACTTGTCCATCACCTATGACTAAAATCAAGTTTAACACACTTGCCCATCACCTATAACTAAAATCAAGTTTAACACACTTGTCCATCACCTAACACACACTTGTCCATCACCTATAACTAAATTCAAGTGGACCACACTTGTCCATCACCTATTACTAAAATCAAGTTTAACACACTTGTCCATCACCTATAACTAAAATCAAGTTTAACACACTTGTCCATCACCTATAACTAAAATCAAGTTGAACACACTTGTCCATCACCTATGACTAAAATCAAGTTTAACACACTTGCCCATCACCTATGACTATAAAATCAAGTTGAACACACTTGTCCATCACCTATAACTAAAATCAAGTTTAACACACTTGTCCATCACCTATAACTAAAATCAAGTGTAACACACTTGCCCATCACCTATGACTATAAAATCAAGTTCAACACACTTGTCCATCACCTATGACTAAAATCATGTTTAACACACTTGCCCATCACCTTTGACTAAAATCAAGTTTAACACACTTGCCCATCACCTTTGACTAAAATCATGTTTAACACACTTGCCCATCACCTTTGACTAAAATCAAGTTGAACACACTTATCCATCACCTATATCTAAAATCAAGTCTAACACACTTGTTCATCACCTAACACACTTGTCCATCACCTTTGTTTTGACCAAATCATTGATATCTCAGACAAATCACCAAAGTCTTAAGTCAGATCCTTTACAACCTGTAGGTAACACTCACCTATGTGTCAGTTAGATCAAACACTGCACCAAGATTTCGTCCATGTATATTATGTATGTTGGTTATAATTGTCTTCAAAAAAAGTAAAATACCTTAACTAAACTCTGTTAGCCAGCTTGGCTGGTCATGCAGATGATATAAGCAATTTCTTATGTTTATCTCTCCAGGGGATGCTTCTGTCCATCTAAGTCATAGTAATATTATCGGATATTTAATACTGAATACGCATGTGTCTCTGGTGCTGGTTTGAGACAGTTTTCCAGTGGATTTCATATTAAGTAATGGAAGAGGGTTTTAATTTGTTGTTATATCTTGGTGATTGGAAAAAGAAAAATAAGAAATATGAGTCTGTATACCATATTACCTAGAGTTTAGCTTTCTGACACTGGATGATATTATACTGTTCTAAATCTTTAATGTTGGTGTACACCATATTACCTAGAGTTTAGCTTTCTGACACTGGATGATATTATACTGTTCTAAATCTTTAATGTTGGTGTACACCATATTACCCAGAGTTTAGCTTTCTGACACTGGATGATATTATACTGTTCTAAATCTTTAATGTTGGTGTACACCATATTACCTAGAGTTTAGCTTTCTGACACTGGATGATATTATACTGTTCTAAATCTTTAATGTTGGTGTACACCATATTACCTAGAGTTTAGCTTTCTGACACTGGATGATATTATACTGTTCTAAATCTTTAATGTTGGTGTACACCATATTACCTAGAGTTTAGCTTTCTGACACTGGATGATATTATACTGTTCTAAATCTCTTATGTTGGTGTACACCATATTACCTAGAGTTTAGCTTTCTGACACTGGATGATATTATACTGTTCTAAATCTTTAATGTTGGTGTACACCATATTACCTAGAGTTTAGCTTTCTGACACTGGATGATATTATACTGTTCTAAATCTTTAATGTTGGTGTACACCATATTACCTAGAGTTTAGCTTTCTGACACTGGATGATATTATACTGTTCTAAATCTTTAATGTTGGTGTACACCATATTACCTAGAGTTTAGCTTTCTGACACTGGATGATATTATACTGTTCTAAATCTTTATGTTGGTGTACACCATATTACCTAGAGTTTAGCTTTCTGACACTGGATGATATTATACTGTTCTAAATCTTTAATGTTGGTGTACACCATATTACCTAGAGTTTAGCTTTCTGACACTGGATGATATTATACTGTTCTAAATCTTTAATGTTGGTGTACACCATATTACCTAGAGTTTAGCTTTCTGACACTGGATGATATTATACTGTTCTAAATCTTTAATGTTGGTGTACACCATATTACCTAGAGTTTAGCTTTCTGACACTGGATGATATTATACTGTTCTAAATCTTTAATGTTGGTGTACACCATATTACCTAGAGTTTAGCTTTCTGACACTGGATGATATTATACTGTTCTAAATCTTTAATGTTGGTGTATACCATATTACCTAGAGTTTAGCTTTCTGACACTGGATGATATTATACTGTTCTAAATCTCTTATGTTGGTGTACACCATATTACCTAGAGTTTAGCTTTCTGACACTGGATGATATTATACTGTTCTAAATCTTTAATGTTGGTGTACACCATATTACCTAGAGTTTAGCTTTCTGACACTGGATGATATTATACTGTTCTAAATCTCTTATGTTGGTGTACACCATATTACCCAGAGTTTAGCTTTCTGACACTGGATGATATTATACTGTTCTAAATCTTTAATGTTGGTGTACACCATATTACCTAGAGTTTAGCTTTCTGACACTGGATGATATTATACTGTTCTAAATCTTTAATGTTGGTGTACACCATATTACCCAGAGTTTAGCTTTCTGACACTGGATGATATTATACTGTTCTAAATCTTTAATGTTGGTGTACACCATATTACCTAGAGTTTAGCTTTCTGACACTGGATGATATTATACTGTTCTAAATCTTTAATGTTGGTGTACACCATATTACCCAGAGTTTAGCTTTCTGACACTGGATGCTATTATACTGTTTCAAATCTTTAATGTTGGTGTACACCATATTACCCAGAGTTTAGCTTTCTGACACTGGATGCTATTATACTGTTCTAAATCTCTAATGCTTGTGTCAATTTTTACTTGCATTTGATAGCTTTGATTCTGATTATGATGTGAATGGCTGGTATTTGTAGGTTTACAAGATCCTCAGTCCTCTGACAGATCTGATTCATTACTGGCAGATCTCAATGATATATTTGGAGCAACATCTCAAACATCCAGTGTGGTAAGTCTCATTTCATCCAACTTGTTCATTTGAAATGGACTGTAAAAAGGTTGATGTTATAGTACTGCACACGGAATGGCATTATTTGATTTTTGCCTGGTGCTGAAGTCATCCTGATGCAAAAAAAAAAATTACATTTTGATAAAATGTTTAGAATTTTTTGCTGATGATGGGCAAATATTTGATATGGAAACTTTTCTCTTGTACATAGTACATATATTATACAAACAATGCAGAGATTTAGATAAATTGCCTATTTCCAATATTTTCAGTTTTCAAAATACAGTAGGATGCATAGGAAAACAGTGCATACAAGCCCCAAGGGTATATGTTACATGTAACTATTCCAGTTTGATATTTTGTAGATCAAACCTGTGAGAATAACTTTTTTCTTATTTTGTTTTGTGTTTTTGTATTTGTTTTTTAGACCTCAGGTATGGCTTTACCCTCCAGCAACGCGAATCAGCCAGTAAATCCAGGATTCCAGAGTGGGGCAGGGGTGATGATGGCACAACTACCAACACAGCCCCAGGGTCCTGCAGTGCTACAAGCCAACCAGGCCACAACTAACATGTTTTCTTCTCCTTCCTTGCTATCTCAGCATCCTGCACAGATGACTAGCCCTCTTACCATGGGGGCAGGTCAGGGTTAGTAATTTCTCTGTTAGTGGATAATCTAACATGATTACATGGCCATATTTTCTGTAATGATATTAGTCTAGGGGATTACTATTTGGAATTCTGGAATCATCTATATTTGCTGTGAGGGGATTGATTTAGGGGATTAGTGTAGAGAAAGGGTAACGTTATTTATATTTTGGTGATGGCAGTGGTCTAGGGACTACCATGGAGAAAGGGTAGGGTTATTTATATTTTGGTGATGGCAGTGGTCTAGGTCTAGGGACTACCGTTGAGAAAGGGTAGGGTTATTTATATTGTGGTGATGGCAGTGATCTAGGGACTACCATGGAGAAAGGGTAGGGTTATTTATATTGTGGTGATGGCAGTGATCTAGGGACTACCATGGAGAAAGGGTAGGGTTATTTATATTTTGGTGATGGCAGTGGTCTAGGGACTACCGTTGAGAAAGGGTAGGGTTATTTATATTTTGGTGATGGCAGTGGTCTAGGTCTAGGGACTACCCTTGAGAAAGGGTAGGGTTATTTATATTGTGGTGATGGCAGTGATCTAGGGACTACCATGGAGAAAGGGTAGGGTTATTTATATTTTGGTGATGGCAGTGGTCTAGGTCTAGGGACTACCGTTGAGAAAGGGTAACGTTATTTATATTTTGGTGATGGCAGTGGTCTAGGTCTAGGGACTACCGTTGAGAAAGGGTAGGGTTATTTATATTGTGGTGATGGCAGTGATCTAGGGACTACCATGGAGAAAGGGTAGGGTTATTTATATTTTGGTGATGGCAGTGATCTAGGGACTACCGTTGAGAAAGGGTAGGGTTATTTATATTTTGGTGATGGCAGTGATCTAGGGACTACCATGGAGAAAGGGTAGGGTTATTTATATTTTGGTGATGGCAGTGGTCTAGGGACTACCATGGAGAAAGGGTAGGGTTATTTATATTTTGGTGATGGCAGTGATCTAGGGACTACCATGGAGAAAGGGTAGGGTTATTTATATTTTGGTGATGGCAGTGGTCTAGGGACTACCATGGAGAAAGGGTAGGGTTATTTATATTGTGGTGATGGCAGTGATCTAGGGACTACCATGGAGAAAGGGTAGGGTTATTTATATTGTGGTGATGGCAGTGATCTAGGGACTACCATGGAGAAAGGGTAGGGTTATTTATATTTTGGTGATGGCAGTGGTCTAGGGACTACCATGGAGAAAGGGTAGGGTTATTTATATTGTGGTGATGGCAGTGATCTAGGGACTACCATGGAGAAAGGGTAGGGTTATTTATATTTTGGTGATGGCAGTGGTCTAGGGACTACCATGGAGAAAGGGTAGGGTTATTTATATTTTGGTGATGGCAGTGATCTAGGGACTACCATGGAGAATGTTAAGGTCATATTTTCTTGGATATGACTTGATTAATCTAAGTCATTTACAAAGGTGCAGGCTTTGATTTCTTCAAGCTTAGGATTAACGAAGTGACCATGGCAACAAGCCCATATCATATTGAACCATGGTTAGAGGTCTAGAGATTTAGTCAAAACAGCTGCATTATCTTTAAATTTTGCTTTCCATGTTAATTCCTAATGTACATAGATACTGGCTTGACTGCAGGGAAATTGATTAATGAAATATACACTCTGTTCTCACGTTTCACAGAAAACAAACATAAATAAAAGTTATTCAAATATACACATTTCTGCAGGTACATTGACAGCTGGTAATGTAAATGCTTCGGCCCAGAGTGCCACCTCCAAAGGCATGGCTGACCTGGACTTGCTTGGACAAGATCTGATGCAGCAGAGTCTCCCTAAAGATGTGAAGATTGTACAAGAAGTTGTGTAAGTTGTTGCCTTACAACAAGATTTATTATTTATCTATTTGTTTATTAATTTATTTCTTTAGAAGGTTTTATGTCCTCTGTTATAGCCTTTCGACCTTTCAATTAACAAGTACAAGGCCAGACATAGCCTTGAGACTCCATAAGCAGTTAGAAAGCATGAAAAGTGATATGCTGACAATTACATATCCTTCCTGGAGACTCTGAATCCATTTGTCTGCTATAATATATTACCAGTGCTAGAAGTTCTATTATATTAATAATATGATCATCAGGTTGAGTCACAAAAAGAACTATGATTTTAAGGTCCATTGACCCCTGGTATGAATATATTATCAGTGGTTTTTAATTATATTTTAAATAACATGTACCAGACTTTAACACATATTTACCCAGTATCTAACTATCTTTCACAGACCTCAACCAAAGTTGACGTTAAACCAAATAGCATCTAAAGGTACAACTGTGACAAACAGTTCCCAGGTTAGCTACAGTCAGCTCGGGTTAACCAACCAACCAGCCTCCGTCAACACCACGGCAACCATTCCGACCTTTCCCCCAGTCCCACAGGTGTCCCCTGCCAAAATTACCTCCCAGGAAATACTCTCTCTTGCCGATGTATTTGTGCCCTTGGAGAAGATTCAGCCAAGTAAGTAATAAACTATTTATATAGGGTTGTTCAGTTTTGAATGCTTTTAAAAATGGATCTTTAGAGGTCATATACAGGTCAGTATGCTGAATGTATTCAAGGGCTTTCACAATCAATAATTTCCATTTCTTTAAAGTGTGATTTGTCTGAGAACAATGTATCTACATGGTATGGAAAATTATTTCGTACCCTGATGGAGACAGTTTTCGATATTTTTTAGGAAAAAAAATATTTGACTGTGAACTGTTTTTGAAGACAAATAAAAAGCAACAGGTTGATGAATTTAATGTGTAACTGGACTTATTATTATAAACTTTTATATTAATACACAACCAGTGAGATGTTCAAATATGGAAAAGGTCAGTGTTTATGTTGTTTATCCTGGTAGGTTGGAGACATGTTCCTCTAATACTTGGGTCAGGTTAGACTACTTGTTATAGTGTGGTTCTCTTGGAAACCCAGTACATGCAGAGAAATTCAGCTATAGAATAATAACATTAATGCAATATACAGTACATGCATAGAAATATAATGTTAAGGAGGTATGTGCCATTTTCTCCGTGAAATAAAGGTTATGCAAGTTTCTATCATTACTAGTAACCTTGAGGGCAAAAAAAGGTTTGTGAGACTTGATTTATTTGTTGTGGTAGGTGCGATGGCCCCTGTGAATGCATATGATCGAAATGGCCTGAAGATGGTTATACATTGTGCTAAGGACAGACCTCGAGAAGATGTCTCCGTAATGGTTGTGTCTGTCATCAGTACCAACACAAATCCAGTGAAAAACTTCAGCTTCCAAGCAGCTGTACCCAAGGTATGACTCTCACAGAATATAATGACTGTGTCCACACATTGTCTATATTCTTAGGTTCACTATTGACAATGGCATTGTTATCCATGTTTGATGGTGATAAATTCAAAATTTGTTAAACCTAGCACATTGACACAGACATTTTCAATAAAATCAGGTACATGATGAAGTCATCTCTCACTTAAGCAAATTTCATAAGTTTGTAATAGATATTCAGTACTGAAATTATAATTTAAGCAGATAAACAGTACAATATATAAAGATGTAAGATGACAGCACTGTCTTTTTAACTGTTCTTTTGAGCAGGTATAAAGATTTGTTGTTTTCTCACCAATTTATGACATTACTCTCACAAACAAATGACTTAAACAATCAAGACTTTTCCTTAAGAGCAGATTACTCTACATTTTGATATTATCTGTGCATGTATATGATATTATTATCTGAACAAGTATATGATATTATCTGCACATTTATTATGATATCTGCACATGTATTATGATATTATCTGTGCATGTATATGATATTATCTGCACATTTATTATGATATCTGCACATGTATTATATTATCTGTGCATGTATATGATATTATCTGCACATTTATTATGATATCTGCACATGTATTATGATATTATCTGTGCATGTATATGATATTATCTGCACATTTATTATATTATCTGCACATGTATTATGATATTATCTGTGCATGTATATGATATTATCTGCACATTTATTATATTATCTGCACATGTATTATGATATTTTCTGCACGATATTATATGTACATGTATTATTATATTATCTGCACATGCATTATGATATTATCTGAACAAGTATATGATATTATCTGAACATGTATTATGATATTATATGAACATGTATTATGATATTATATGCACATGTATTATGATATTATATGCACATGTATTATGATATTATATGCACATGTAATATATTATCTGCACATGCATTCAGATATTATCTGCACATGTATTATTATATTATCTGAACATGTATTATTATATTATCTGCACATGCATTATGATATTATCTGCACTTGCATTTTGATATTATCTGAACAAGTATATGATATTATATGAACATGTATTATGATATTATCTGAACATGTATATGATATTATCTGCACATTTATTATGATATCTGCACATTTATTATGATATTTGCACATTTATTATGATATTTGCACATTTATTATGATATTATCTGTGCATGTATATGATATTATCTGAACATGTATTATGATATCTGAACAAGTATATGATATTATCTGCACATTTATTATGATATCTGCACATTTATTATGATATTTGCACATTTATTATGATATTTGCACATTTATTATGATATTATCTGAACATGTATATGATATTATCTGCACATTTATTATGATATCTGCACATTTATTATGATATTTGCACATTTATTATGATATTTGCACATTTATTATGATATTATCTGTGCATGTATATGATATTCTCTGAACATGTATTATGATATCTGCACATGTATTATGATATTATCTGCACATTTACTATGATATTTGCACATTTATTATGATATTATCTGTGCATGTATATGATATTATCTGAACATGTATTATGATATCTGAACAAGTATATGATATTATCTGCACATTTATTATGATATTATCTGTGCATGTATATGATATTATCTGAACATGTATTATGATATTATCTGCACTTGCATTTTGATATTATCTGAACAAGTATATGATATTATATGAACATGTATTATGATATTATCTGAACATGTATATGATATTATCTGCACATGTATTATGATATTATCTGCACATGTTTTATGATATTATCAGTACAAACATTTTGTAATAGTACCATTCCTTTTTACCTGTCAGGTGATGAAAGTCAAACTACAGCCTCCCTCAGCCACCCAACTTCCCGCCTACAACCCTATCCTGCCCCCAGCAGCCATTACTCAAGTCATGCTTTTTGCAAATCCACACAAGGTAAAGACAGGCTAAATCAGAACAAAATCTTTTCAACAGAATGATGCAACGCTTAAAGGATAATTTTATTGAACCGTACATAAAAATTGTAAATTCAACAGATATCTCTTTTTTTTTGTTTTTTATCCACAAACTCTCCATCATTCAAGTTTTGATAATGTATATTCTTCTGCTTTTGTTGAATATGAAAGGAATTAAAATCAATCAGAAGACTCATGTATAATATACTGGAAACAGAAAATTAAATAACTTAGAAACTTTGTAAAGAAAAGAAAAATAAATTTCTATAGAAACTTTGTAAAGAAAAGAAAAATAAATTTCTATAAATAGGAGAAAAAATCAGTAATTGCTGTATCAATATATGTGTTTACCTAGAAATGCACTATTTTGTATGGTAGTAAGTGTTGTTGTCAGATTTTTAATCTGCTGTATTTCAGGAAAAGATTCGGTTAAAGTTCAAGATCACATATGTGGCAGGAGAAGAATCCCATTCCGATGTAGGAGAGGTGGACACATTTCCAGTACAGTGAGAACAGTGTAGCACAACTAGGAGAGCACCACTATAGCAGTCATGGTTGACTGATGTCAGAATCAGTGTTACATTATTAAGTACAACAATCAGTCATGCTAGACACTGAAGTCTGAGAACAAAAACATAAACTAGGACAGATTCAAACCAAACACAACATGTCATTGGCTCTGTTATACTTCTAGTGTATGGCCAACTCAACTCCATTAGGTTTGGTAACTGTCGGCATGCACTGTTGGTTATGTGGAATGGAATGAAAACGAATGAATGGCACACTGACAGTTTTGGCTGTGGCCATGCTCAGCAGATCCTAATATTGCAATGTATAAGGTCCAGAATGAACTGATTAAATGATAATTTTGAATTCTGATTTTGACCAGATGAAACTAAACCTAGTTGGTCAAAGATCCAGCAAAACTAAATCTGAATCCAGAGAGCTTACTGTTTGAAAAGTGTACACAATATGAACCAAAGGATAGGAGTAGGAATAGAGGATCATTTAGAAAATATCTACCAAAGTTTAATGTGGTATCAAATTACAACACAATTTAATGTGGTGTCAGATTACCACAGTTTAATGTGGTATCAGATTACCACAGTTTAATGTGGTGTCAGACTACCACAGTTTAATGTGGTATCAGACTACCACACAGTTTAATGTGGTATCAAACTACCACACAGTTAAACGTGGTATCAGACTACCACACTTTAATGTTGTATCAAATTACCACACAGTTAATTGTGGTATCAGACTACCACACAGTTAAATGTGGTATCAGACTACCACACAGTTAATTGTGGTATCAGACTACCACACAGTTTAATATGGTATCAGACTACCACAGTTTAATGTGGTATCAGACTACCACACAGTTAATTGTGGTATCAGACTACCACACAGTTTAATATGGTATCAGACTACCACAGTTTAATGTGGTATCAGACTACCACACAGTTAAATGTGGTATCAGACTACCACACTTTAATGTGGTATCAGACTACCACACAGTTTAATGTGGTATCAAACTACCACACAGTTAAACGTGGTATCAGACTACCACAGTTTAATGTTGTATCAAATTACCACCAAATTTATATGTGGTATCAGAGTAGAATTGTTTTTTTAATTACCATTATTTATAATGAAGTGCTAAATAAGAAGTATGGCTGATAATTAGGATTGGTATTAGACATTCAATGAATGTATGTTTATACTATTTTTGTAATGTATTTTTAGGGTTACACTCGAAGTTTTTAATCGTAGAATGATTACATTCTGTGCTGATCAAGTTTACACTATTTAGTATTAACTGGAAGCACTATAAAATATGTAAAGTTCAGCCTCCATTTTGATTTTGCTTGTTTTTCTTCTTCGTGATCAGTTATATCTAAACAATGGATGTTCCATCATATGGTTTCCTGGGCCTATGGAATCGCTGACAAACTAACACAGATCCATGAAACCAATTGGCTAATATATTTAATGCTTATTCATTCAATTACTTCACTCTCCTTATGTCATTTTGGAACTGCAAAGTCAGTATATTACAGCGAGATTGATGACATTACTATACTGATCACATGATCAAATGTCTCCCACAGCATTCTCTAAACAATACAGGTAGATGCATTCTCTATACGATACAGGTAGATGCATTCTCTATATGATACAGGTAGATGCATTCTCTATACAATACAGGTAGATGCATTCTCTATACGATACAGGTAGATGCATTCTCTATACAATACAGGTAGATGCATTCTCTATATGATACAGGTAGATGCATTCTCTATACAATACAGGTAGATGCATTCTCTATACAATACAGGTAGATGCATTCTCTATACGATACAGGTAGATGCATTCTCTATACGATACAGGTAGATGCATTCTCTATACGATACAGGTAGATGCATTCTCTATACGATACAGGTAGATGCATTCTCTATACGATACAGGTAGATGCATTCTCTATACGATACAGGTAGATGCATTCTCTATACGATACAGGTAGATGCATTCTCTATACAATACAGGTAGATGCATTCTCTATACGATACAGGTAGATTCATTCTCTATACGATACAGGTAGATGCATTCTCTATACAATACAGGTAGATGCATTCTCTATACGATACAGGTAGATTCATTCTCTATACGATACAGGTAGATGCATTCTCTATACGATACAGGTAGATGCATTCTCTATACGATACAGGTAGATGCATTCTCTATACAATACAGGTAGATGCATTCTCTATACGATACAGGTAGATGCATTCTCTATACGATACAGGTAGATGCATTCTCTATACAATACAGGTAGATGCATTCTCTATACAATACAGGTAGATGCATTCTCTATACGATACAGGTAGATGCATTCTCTATACGATACAGGTAGATGCATTCTCTATACGATACAGGTAGATGCATTCTCTATACGATACAGGTAGATGCATTCTCTATACAATACAGGTAGATGCATTCTCTATACGATACAGGTAGATGCATTCTCTATACGATACAGGTAGATGCATTCTCTATACGATACAGGTAGATGCATTCTCTATACGATACAGGTAGATGCATTCTCTATACGATACAGGTAGATTCATTCTCTATACGATACAGGTAGATTCATTCTCTATACGATACAGGTAGATGCATTCTCTATACGATACAGGTAGATTCATTCTCTATACGATACAGGTAGATGCATTCTCTATACAATACAGGTAGATGCATTCTCTATACGATACAGGTAGATGCATTCTCTATACGATACAGGGAGGTCCATTCTCTATACGATACAGGGAGGTGCATTCTCTATACAATACAGGTAGATGCATTCTCTATACAATACAGGTAGATGCATTCTCTATACAATACAGGGAGGTGCATTCTCTATACGATACAGGTAGATGCATTCTCTATACGATACAGGTAGATGCATTCTCTATACGATACAGGTAGATGCATTCTCTATACGATACAGGTAGATTCATTCTCTATACGATATAGGTAGATGCATTCTCTATAGGATACAGGTAGATGCATTCTCTATACGATACAGGTAGATGCATTCTCTATATGATGCAGGTAGATGCATTCTCTATACAATACAGGGAGGTGCATTCTCTATACAATACAGGGAGGTGCATTCTCTATACAATACAGGTAGATGCATTCTCTATACAATACAGGTAGATGCATTCTCTATACAATACAGGGAGGTGCATTCTCTATACAATACAGGGAGGTGCATTCTCTATACAATACAGGTAGATGCATTCTCTATACAATACAGGGAGGTGCATTCTCTATACAATACAGGGAGGTGCATTCTCTATACAATACAGGTAGATGCATTCTCTATACAATACAGGTAGATGCAATCTCTATACAATACAGGTAGATCACTTGTGATTTAGGAGTGGTTTTCAACGACCTATATAATCAGTTTTAAGAGCATTTTGAACAAAATGAGAAATTCCTCAATTTAACAAATAGCATGTTGACATTTGTAGGTAATCCTGTACATGACTTTTGGACTGAAAGTGTATAAGGTACACGGTATTGAACAAAAGCGTTGACCAGACACATTAGAATCAGTAAGTAGTATCACATTCATTCAGCCAGTTCAAACTCCGATGTGATACAGTCCATGCCACAGACATACTTTGTTTTCCCCAATACTTACAGAAGTACAGTAGATGATTTGTGTGGATTATTTGACAAGTTATAGTAGTATGTTTTATCATTGAATGCTTGAATAAACAATGTTTCTGAAATACCTTCATACAGGTCGCCTAAGATTGTGAATTATGCCACTAATACACGTTTTTGAATTGTTTAAAGTCCATTATGTTATGGTGTCTGGTCCTTCTTAGTAATAGTAGTGGGTTGTGTGGTTTTGCTGACTGATGTTATACATATACTATATATATATAAGGAGGGAGTTATTGATGTATAGTCTCTGATGTATTACCATTAATTATTTAAAGATCGTTGTTAGTGGACAGTGTGTAAAGTCGAGAATATGTGGACCTGTTGTAATTAATCACAAGTCGATAAACAGGTCATCTTGTCAACACAAGGGGTTAGTGTTAACTGCATGAGGAATTAGGAGAATGAATGGAGATTGAAAGTAGTGAGATTTTTTTCAAGTGCAATATGTTTAAAATGATTGAAAAAATATCAATATTTATTTCAAAAATTCAATCTTAGATACATATTTCAGGTTTTCATGTGACAAGAAACCTGCAAAATTTTTTCAAAAAGGATAACAAAATAGAACTCCATTTGTCTTGAATGCTCAAATTATTGCACCACCGGACTACCCAAAAAAGGCTGTTTATGTATATAGAATTTGCCTCTTTTTATGTATCATATTGAAAATGATGCTTTTGATAATCACCAACGTATCATTATTTACATTTTATATATTGGTTATAGTGGAAATTAAAGTGAAAAAAATGTAATTTGAATATTCAGCAATACAATGTACAACAATTTGAAGGGAATGATAATTCTTGCAAAAAATGTGATAAAATTTCAGTAGTTATGAAACATATAATCAGAGATCCTCAGGAGAGAGATGAATTAGGGAGTCTGTGTATGTTACTACATGCTAGGACAAATATCTGTTTTCATTATTGAACACAATAAATGTGTAAATTTAATCCTGTTTTCTGTGACTTTGTATAATTTTCAGTATCCTCTCAACAGATCCTTCCAGTACTTATCATGATAAAGCAATATCAAACTTTCTTTATCAAAATCCAAAACGGCTGCCTGTCATAACAATTTTTTGTGGATGAACACAAAAACTGATCATGAAAGTATGGTAATTTGAAAAGTCTACCATCTGATCATGATGGCCTAAAAACCAGGTGTTCCTGAAGGATCAGTGTTTTCATTTCATTCACAACAATTCTTGCATAAACTTCAGTCATTTCCATGTGACGAGATATTCAATTAATATTTGTCCTATCCATGCAAAAGAGAAATATAAAGAAATGAAACAATAATTATACCATCACGAAAGCACTGAGAAAATCTCGTGTCATTTGTGATAAAGCCTACCAATTTTGAATGGGATCAGTTGAAGCCTGATGGAGGATTTCCAGCAAAGATTAAAAAAAAAAGTGAAAAGAGCATCAACTCTTCAAAATCTTGAAATGCAATATATGTTTTTATGAAAAAGACAAAGTTACAAAGAGATTGGTCGAAACCGACAGTTGAAGGGGTTTGGCCACAATTTTTCATTATTTTAAATTTTAGTCTAAATTGATATGTCTTTGAGATCCCTTATCTCCAAGCACCTTTTACCTAACTAATTCTGGGAAATATGTATATTTTGATATGAAGCACTGAGTCATGTGATGTGTGACATCAACGTGTTTCATAGGTGACAGCAAATTTCGCTTTGCCTTATATATGTAGATTTCAAGATCCAATTGCTCTGCCCCTTTTATCAACCTAATTCTGGTAAATATGCAGAAGTAGGTTATATGATCTGCTTCAAATCTGTTCAAAATTGTTTTAGTTTAAACCCTATCTATCAACATAGTTTATTTTTAAAATGATGATGTTAAAATGTGCAGGTGAGCTAAAAAAAACACAAAATGAATCGGAAAATCAATATTTTAATAACAAAAATAAATATATAACAAATGAATATTATTGGCACAACATGAATATGTAATTCCATGGATGGAAAAGAGGTCCATAGGCTTTTAAGAGTCAGATGTTATAATTCGATGTACACCTCTTAGTGTTGCTGGCAATCCTGTGCTATCCAGATGCCACCTGAAAGAAGTACAAAAATGTAACACCTACATCAAGACATGTTAGCGGGTTTCTCTCTCCAGGAATATCTGTTAATTTAGTTGAATATATAGTTCATGTCACAGAAAACTTTGACCCAGCACTTTGCCAAGGTTGTGTAGTGTATGACCTGACATAGTCTTATTAAATCATTAACATACAAGGGCACAGCTCTGTAAAGTAGGTATCATATATGATTCTTTATGTGAATACGACCACTTTAGGTAAAGATTTCAATTAGCCCATAAGACTGTTAACATTCAGGAGATTAATTCATGTACTGGTTTCACTGATTTTACATTTTACCTGAAGAATGAGACCTCTAAATGTGATGGTAAGTGAAACTTAGGAAAAATATTTTGTTCATTTTTCACATGAAGGGGCATAACTCTCTAAAATCAAAAGTGGTTGAAATACAAAATCACTCGGAGGGCATACCACCATATGGTTCTGGCATTTCTCACAGAATATAAAACAATGAAGAATGAGTAAGTGGGTACGCATTAACAGACATAACTCCCTTAAAATAGGTTTAATTTGTACATGGTACTGCCACTCAACACAAAATGTGTTAAAATTCATTTTTAAAAGAAATAGGTATTTCTCTATTAAAAAGGGTCTGGGGGATAACTCCATATAGTACTGATACTTTTATCTTTTAAGTTTTATGAAAATTAATTGAAAACTGTTTTATGATGAATGTTCCATTTTAGCAGCCGTATTGTTACAAAACAAAATCCCATGAAAAAAATTTAAAAAGGTGTTATTGATCTTAGTAATTTAGGATCAATAGACGTATCTCTTGTTATCTTATTTATGAATTAATCAAATACTCAGATTACTTGAAGTTTTTAAAGTCCTGTCAGTTTTGAGATATCAAAGTTTAACAGCACAATAAATAAAATCTAAACCTTAATTTTACAGGAATGTAACCCTGGACATCTCTACCACCCTACTATATGATATACAGGTGAATGTTCATAGTAAATGTCATTTGAGATTATGAGAACTGCCATCAGAACACTTACCTGCCTGTATGTATTTCTGGGCAGGGGTTTAATACAACAGCCGCAAAACTGAAAAGCAGATTTCCAAAAATAATTTAAAGGACCACGAGTAACAACAAATGACCTCTTGCTCAAAGTCTGGATATAGAGGTGTTCACTGAGCATTAAATTTGTTGACATTTCTAATGAAACAGCAGTAAATATGAGTGACTTTATTACTAGGCAATGCCATACTGCTGGATAAATATGGTAAAGGGCTCATTAAAATCTTTTTCCATCAGTACAAATGACACACAACAGTTTACAAATATGAAGGAAATCTGGTGAGACAATATGTACAGACAAATTTATAGAATCTGCTTCAGATGAGCTAATATGATTTTCAGAACAACAAACCAATGGGTTCAGTTGGAGTCACTTACTTTGGAATTTGTAGAAGATTGACAAGGTGTTGTGAGCAACTGACTAAGGTGTTCTGTATCTCAGGGTCTTGAGCCCCACACTGCTGTTGCTGTTGGCTAACCTTGCTAAGACAGAGAACTGCTCTGGGAATGAGGTCCTGACATCGCGATGACAACTGAAACACGCATTTAGTCAAAAGCTAGGCAAACTATCATCGTTGTTTTACTTCAAACAGTTCAATTTTTGTATATTTCATTCAAATGGGAAACTGTAAATTCTGTGTACTGTACAATCACTTGAAAAATCATTTTGGTTCCATAGCCTAATCATTAGTTCATCTTACACTGTTCTTTCAAAACTGTTAACAGACATTAATGTACAATTTAAATAATTTTTAATTTTTTTTTTATAATTTAAACAATCAGACTTAAATAATTAATCAAAATGCAAATATTTATACATGATGTCATAACAAAATATCTGCCAGTCAAATATTTATACATGATGTCATAACAAAATATCTGCCTGTCAAATATTTATACATGATGTCATAACAAAATATCTGCCAGTCAAATATTTATACATGATGTCATAACAAAATATCTGCCAGTCAAATATTTATACATGATGTCATAACAAAATGTCTGCCAGTCAAATATTTATACATGATGTCATAACAAAATATCTGCCAGTCAAATATTTATACATGATGTCATAACAAAATATCTGCCAGTCAAATATTTATACATGATGTCATAACAAAATATCTGCCAGTCAAATATTTATACATGATGTCATAACAAAATGTCTGCCAGTCAAATATTTAAACATGATGTCATAACAAAATGTCTGCCAGTCAAATATTTCAAATTTGGTCTTCTCATTTGATTTCAGTCAATGATACATATGTTTTTGCTCTATATACCCATTTCTATTTATAGTAATAGCAATCTTGACCTTTGAACTCCTACCCATGCACTTTCTGTGAAGGAGAATTAGAGTGTTAACTGCTGATATTTTCATCCTGAAGCAGTATTCAGGCTATATGGAAGTAACCAATTTGCATTCATATCAGTATGAATTTTAAAAAATCTTCACCTTATTCAAACTACTCACAATAACGGTTAAAAAGTTCAAACATATGGTACATTTCATTTTCATGGAGACATTTACCTTAGCAATGGATGACATGAGAATGGAGATGATCTTGGCATGACCTTGAGAAGAGGTCACTCTCCCCATGGAAACCATGGCGGACATTTCATATGTAAGTGGCTCCAGGGTGTCGAAGAATCTCTTGATGATATCAGTACTGCACCTGTCATCATGGGTAGAGGAACAGTATTCCCCAACAGCCCATACCTGTGTTGAATACAGTATATAATACAGTTTGGCAAAAATGAAGATTATTGGTAAGTTATCCCAAACAACTCCCACTTAAGTTTGTAAATGCATCTGTTTCCATCTATGATTAAATCAAGAACAATTGTTTATAAATGTCACTAATTATATCTTTAACGACCCATTCTTCCTAAAATATTTTCGAAGACAATGAGAGCTCAATCAGTAAGGATTTTTATCAACCTCAGGTCTGATCAAAAGTATGTTTCAATCCCCATTCAGGGCGATGTGTGTTTGTCAGGAAGCTGCTATCATAGACTGTCCTGTGCTTTCATGGTTGTGTCCATGGACAAGACATTTCAACCTACTCATTTTTGATAACGTGTGGCAAGCCTTCAGACTTGTTCAGTGAGGATGTCACTAACTACAACAAGGACACCCTACCATAAAATGACCCTGGCTGTTGTTCAGTGAGGATGTCACTAACTACAACAAGGACACCCTACCATAAAATGACCCTGGCTGTTGTTCAGTGAGGATGTCACTAACTACAACAAGGACACCCTACCATAAAATGACCCTGGCTGTTGTTCAGTGAGGAATTCACTAGTTACAACAAGGACACCCTACCATAAAATGACCCTGGCTGTTGTTCAGTGAGGAATTCACTAGTTACAACAAGGACACCCTACCATAAAATGACCCTGGCTGTTGTTCAGTGAGGAATTCACTAGTTACAACAAGGACACCCTACCATAAAATGACCCTGGCTGTTGTTCAGTGAGGAATTCACTAACTACAACAAGGACACCCTACCATAAAATGACTCTGGCTGTTGACAGGGGAATAAACAAATGCCTTACCAATCTTCAAATATTTCAAACAGAAGGGTTAGTTACTTTTATTTTTCTTCTCATTAAACACCCATACAGAAAGAGTAACCTGGTACTAGCTGTTCACACAATCCTGTCAATAAAGAAGCTTACCATGTTTGCAAAAAATTCCTCGCGACCCATGATGTTGGAGACGCTCATGACAAAGTCCTGTATTTCACTTTGCACATCAATAAGGATTTGTGGAAACTTCTTAAACAGTCGCACAACATTCTCAGATAAAATTCTACAAGTAAAGACCAAAATCTGGTAACACTATGTAGCCACATGGAATGAAAAACTGTTTCTCTTTATTTTTCAAGATTTCAGGGAAAAAAACTTTTCTTTACTCCAAGAATTAGTGAGTATGATAGTTGTTTGAATATACCAGGTACTTTCTTCATATTTCTGTGAAAATTCTGTAATAAATTTTTTTCTAGAAGCTGTATATTTTAACATTGGTTTTGAAGCTGTACATTTAGACATCTGTTTTGAAGCTGTACATTTTGACATCTGTTTTGAAGCTGTACATTGTGATATCTGTTATGAAGCTGTACATTATGACATCTGTTTTGGAGCTGTATATTTTAACATTGGTTTTGAAGCTGTACATTATGACATCTGTTTTGAAGCTGTACATTATGACATTGGTTTTGAAGCTGTACATTATGACACCTGTTATGAAGCTGTACAATATGACATCTGTTGAAGCTGTACATTTTGACATCTGTTATGAAGCTGTACATTATGACATCTGTTTTGAAGCTGTACATTATGACATTGGTTTTGAAGCTGTACATTATGACATCTGTTGAAGCTGTACATTTTTACATCTGTTTTGAAGCTGTACATTTTGACATCTGTTTTGAAGCTGTACATTGTGACATCTGTTATGAAGCTGTACATTATGACATCTGTTTTGAAGCTGTATATTTTAACATCTGTTTTGAAGCTGTACATTATGACATCTGTTTTGAAGCTGTACATTATGACATCTGTTTTGAAGCTGTACATTATGACATCTTTTATGAAGCTGTACATTTTGACATCTGTTTTGAAGCTGTACATTTTGACATCTGTTTTGAAGCTGTACATTTTGACATCTGTTTTGAAGCTGTACACTATGACATCTGTTTTGAAGCTGTACATTTTGACATCTGTTTTGAAGCTGTACATTATGACACCTGTTTTGAAGCTGTACATTATGACAAGCTGTACATTTTGACATCTGTTATGAAGCTGTACATTATGACATCTGTTAAAGCTGCACATTATGACATCTGATGAAGCTGTACATTATGATATCTGTTTTGAAGCTGTACATTATGACATCTGTTGAAGCTGTACATTATGACATCTGTTATGAAGCTGTACATTATGACATCTGTTTTGAAGCTGTACATTTTGACATCTGTTTTGAAGCTGTACATTTTGACATCTGTTATGAAGCTGTACATTTTGACATCTGTTATGAAGCTGTACATTTTGACATCTGTTTTGAAGCTGTACATTATGACATCTGTTATGAAGCTGTACATTATGACATCTGTTATGAAGCTGTACATTATGACATCTGTTATGAAGCTGTACATTATGCCATCTGTTATGAAGCTGTACATTATGACATATGTTGAAGCTGTACATTTTGACATCTGTTTTGAAGCTGTACTTTTTGACATCTGTTATGAAGCTGTACATTATGACATCTGTTATGAAGCTGTACATTTTGACATCTGTTTTGAAGCTGTACATTTTGACATGTTTTGAAGCTGTACATTTTGACATCTGTTATGAAGCTGTACATTTTGACATCTGTTATGAAGCTGTACATTTTGACATGTTTTGAAGCTGTACATTTTGACATCTGTTATGAAGCTGTACATTTTGACATCTGTTATGAAGCTGTACATTTTGACATCTGTTTTGAAGCTGTACATTTTGACATCTGTTTTGAAGCTGTACATTTTGACATCTGTTTTGAAGCTGTACATTATGACATCTGTTTTGAAGCTGTAAGTTTTGACATCTGTTTTGAAGCTGTACATTATGACATCTGTTTTGAAGCTGTACATTATGACATCTGTTTTGAAGCTGTACATTATGACATCTTTTATGAAGCTGTACATTTTGACATCTGTTTTGAAGCTGTACATTTTGACATCTGTTATGAAGCTGTACATTTTGACATCTGTTATAAAGCTGTACATTTTGACATCTGTTTTGAAGCTATACATTTTGACATCTGTTATGAAGGTGTACATTTTGACATCTGTTTTGAAGCTGTACATTTTGACATCTGTTTTGAAGCTGTACATTTTGACATCTGTTTTGAAGCTGTACATTATGACATCTGTTTTGAAGCTGTAAGTTTTGACATCTGTTTTGAAGCTGTACATTATGACATCTGTTTTGAAGCTGTACATTATGACATCTGTTTTGAAGCTGTACATTATGACATCTTTTATGAAGCTGTACATTTTGACATCTGTTTTGAAGCTGTACATTTTGACATCTGTTATGAAGCTGTACATTTTGACATCTGTTATAAAGCTGTACATTTTGACATCTGTTTTGAAGCTATACATTTTGACATCTGTTTTGAAGCTGTACATTTTGACATCTGTTTTGAAGCTGTACACTATGACATCTGTTTTGAAGCTGTACATTTTGACATCTGTTTTGAAGCTGTACATTAAGACATCTGTTGAAGCTGTACATTATGACATCTGTTTTGAAGCTGTACATTATGACATTGGTTTTGAAGCTGTACATTATGACATCTGTTATGAAGCTGTACATTTTGACACCTGTTATGAAGCTGTACATTTTGACATCTGTTAGGAAGCTGTACATTTTGACATCTGTTTTGAAGCTGTACATTTTGACATCTGTTTTGAAGCTGTACATTTTGACATCTGTTTTGAAGCTGTACATTATGACATCTGTTTTGAAGCTGTACATTTTGACATCTGTTTTGAAGCTGTACATTGTGACATCTGTTTTAAAGCTGTACATTATGACATCTGTTATGAAGCTGTACATTTTGACATCTGTTTTGAAGCTGTACATTATGACATCTGTTGAAGCTGTCCATTATGAAATCTGTTTTGAAGCTGTACATATGACATCTATTATGAAGCTGTACATTATGACATTTTGAAGTTTTATATCTGTTTTTTACAGATTTACCTTTTCACATCTGTTTTGAAGTCTGGCATGTCATAGAGTAGTGCTGACCGTTCTAAAAGGACAGCAAGTAAATGTGCTGCAAAGTCTGTTGTCCCTTCCTCCAGTACTACTTCAAACCACACCCTGACAAAGTACAAAATTACATGTATTATTGTTTCTCATCAATCACATGCAATCCTACATCTGAGGTTTGTATTTTTAATTTTCACCAAAATTTACATGTCATCATAGTTTGAAAACATCACAGATTTAATTATAATCCTATTCGACTTTACGAGTAAGTAGAAGGGTCTTGGAAGTATATTTTTGGGGCATGAATTTATAATTCTTAAATAATATGAGAACAGAAATGATGAATTCAAATATTGTCATTTAAAATTGGTTCATAAAAATTTCTGTGTAGACAAACTGAACCTTCTGAAAAAAAAGTATAATGATGTTATGATTTAGTAGACATGACCTGCCAATACCAACATACCGGAGGAGGACAGGCACAGCCTGGGAACATACAACAACACGTGGATGTTGACTCATGTCCTTCACAGCTTTGTGGAAGCTGGCTAGTCTGTAATACAGAAATAACATCAATACTAGTTCACAAAGCATGCATTTAGTATACAGAAATACAGAAATAACATCAATACTAGTTCATAAAGCATGCAGTTAGTAGAATCTTTTCATCGGGTTTGCATCCAAGGTTGCTTTTTCCATGAACAGTACGTATATACCAACACTAGGTGTGAATCTCGTGTAACTATTCTTTCTGGGGGACACCGTACATCATCAAGTGGTTCACCAGAAATTGACAATTACAATGAGATTTCTCTTTCTACAGAATGTCTCCTTACTGAAGACAGTTTAAATTTGTTTAGGATACAAACTAGACATGCTTTAATTGCACAGAAAATACACATGTGCATGTAAATTGCTGTCTGTCAAAATTTGAATGTAGGAAATATCGTTTTAGCTCAGTAGGTAGAGTAGGATGTCTAGATTGATCCATGGTTTGAGGAAAATATAACAATATATAGTTTGATGTGCAAAAGAAAGTATACAAATAAGGATACGACAAATTTTACAGAACAGTATCATTTAGTTGTATTATTAAATGTAGTTAGCCAGTTATACCAGTGAGGTTTTAACTTTAACATATACTTTCTTCTGTTCTTCGGTATATATTTGTTAAGCTCAGGGACTCCACAAATAAGCTGACCCAAAAGGGGTGGGCTTATTAACGGACAATGAAACAGACATGAGCTTATTGTCAGATAACTACGGTACATAAACTTCCTACTGTTATCTCACAACAGTCTGACCTGTTGATGGTGTCCCCATGACCACCTTCTACCCGTGTGAAGAAGTTGAACATGGGCCTGAAGAATATATGCTGGAAGGCCTCTGTGGAGGAGGTTGGGTCTGTGTCGGACTGGCTGAGGGCTTCTCCCTTCCCATCCCAGTGATTCGTTACCTCCAGGGCAATTGTCATACACGGAAGATCCAGCAGGACATGTAGAACCTGCAGATAAAGATATTGAATTCAGAAATTCAGAATTCAGAAAGTGTGATTTTTTTTAAATGTTTGAAGGCAAGAGGGCATTCTATTTACCATTGTGATTCTGATGTTCAAAGGAACTGTTCATCAGTGAGTCACATTTGTAAAAAGGTATTTTGTAGCTTCATATAATTTCAGATAAATTAAACTGAAATAACCATCATGACCTTGAATTTCAAAACTACTTGTCCAATTTACTGCAAAATTATTTCAAGCCAATCTGGCCAATTCCTTATCAACTTAAAACTCAAGAAATTCAACATGAAAGAAGACACAGATAAAAATGAGGTTGAGGAATTTCTTCTGATTCTCTGGGGCTTGACATGATAGTTTGATAATCTGCATTGCCATGAAGAAATATGGCTGAAATACACTCAATCTATTAAAATGATCCTGCAGCCAATAGTATGTCCTCTAACATACAAATAAACAAACAATCCTGCAGCCAATAGTATGTCCTCTAACATACAAATAAACAAACAAACAGCAGAAATCTGTCTTTATCCTGGATAGATTTTATAGGTGAATACAGAATACAGAATCACCATCATGTTACCAGACCCAAATGACTGCCAAAACAATAACATTTGAATAAAAATATTCTTGGAGACCAATGCTTTACCTCTAGTGCTGTAGAAGATGACATCAGAGCTGGTAGTAGTTCTTCAAACTCACTCAAATAGGTCCTTGGGTTCCATGCTAGAATCTGACATTCAATAAAAACATAAAATAACTTCCAATGTCTTTTACAATCCATACTCTTGCATTTACTGTCATGCTGCTTAATATAATGATGCTTAATATCACCATATCATATTGGTATACAGTTACTAATCATGATATATGATGAAGGAAAAGACAAATATCAAGTAATACTACATTTATATATATCATGTTATACCACAAAGATAAAGATAATATTATAATGATATATATCATGTTATACCACAAAGATAAAGATAATATTATATTGATATATATCATGTTATACCACAAAGATAAAGATAATATTATATTGATATATATCACGTTATACCACAAAGATAAAGATAATATTATAATGATATATATCATGTTATACCACAAAGATAAAGATAATATTATATTGATATATATCATGTTATACCACAAAGATAAAGATAATATTATATTGATATATATCATGTTATACCACAAAGATAAATATCATACCAAATCGTATTAAATGACAATGATGATGATATACATATTATATATATATATCTATCACAACCAATCAATACTTTTTCTGTGAACTATGTTGAATATGACTCTCAACCAAACCTTAAAGATGTTGGGGAAGAAAGTGGTGAGGATTTGAGTGTTGTGACACAAAGCCTCTAGATTCTGTCGCAGGAACATGACCATGTCAAACATCAAAGCATTGTCCATGAAACTCTGAGAGAGCACTGTGTGAAAGATGAGCCTGTAGGCTTCCTGAGGGTCATGTAGCACTGCCTTACCTTTAACAAAAACACACCAGTTGGTAAGTTTTGTCAACAACTGTCCTCAAAAAATATGTTCCTGTATCCTTAATGTTTAATCTTTGTTACTTCACTTATACAAATTGCTCTTTTCAATTAAGCTGAGAGGGGTTTGTTTATGACCTCAATTCACACAAAAATGCAAATTTGAAAGGCAATTTATCTTTATAAGTTATAATTTCACAAGCGTTAATAACAAAAATGTGGAAAAAGCCTAGATTTCTAAATCATTTATTGAATAACTTTTAATAAGTCTTACAAAAATGAAATACACAAATAAAAAACTATAAGTACACTTACTATGGTTCATATAGAATTGTAAGATGGGTAGCAATAGGCGAGACTTGCCTAAGTCTTGGGAAAGTCTGTTGTATAGGTGACGCATTTCCTGGAATACCTTGGATATCTGACCCGTGTCAATCTTACAAACAAGGTCAAGGACATTCACTGTCTCAAGTAAACACTGAAATAAGGTCAAGGACAGTCAAAGTCTCAAGTACATGCTGAAATAAGGTCAAGGACATTCACATACTAAATCTGACAGTATAATAAAATCAAGGACATTCAAGTATTAAGTTTATAATCAAAAATCAATTATGTTAAAAATCTTGTTTGATAAAGTTTGAATATGTTGAAAGTCTGTGATGAAAGTATGATTGAAATCCAGTCTTTTTATAAATATGTTGAAAGTAGAGTTGATGATGAAGTCTAGTCCTTGTTTGAAGAATTAAAATTTTTGATATATGTATCTATTTATACAATACACATGTAAATTATATACTAAACATGTAAACAGTGTGGTAAGCATTTACAGTAACCAGGCCTTTACAATGCTAAAGTTCAGGTGAAGAGTTGTGCTAACTCAGGCAGACTCTCTTGATCTCTCTGTGTACTTAGATGTTAACCAAGAGGTCCAGAGGGCCTGTATCGCTCATATGAATC